AAATCCTCATGGAGGGCACTATCATGCATACTGTCTAGAAAACAACGTGGTGACCATCTTGAGGTTGGCATTAAAACACGCATGTGACCACTGTATATACATCAAATAGGGGGCTAAACGTGCAAAAGAGGCCGGACCCTTTAGTAGAATTGAAAAAAAACGCTGGCAGTATCTCCGCGCCTGCGGTTGCGGCCGGCTGTCTAGTTCACATAAACGAAATGTAATCTGTACAGTCTGATTAATCATTTTCATCGCATGGCCAAAATTTAGGGCGTCCTCGAGCGCATAATCTCGTGGAATCAGCGATGTTAAGGCAAACTAGGTAAACTGGGTTTGACCTCACCGTGGAGCAGTATACCCCCACGATTAGGATGATAACTCGAAAAACGATATCAGCTTCTCTCCATGGAAAAGCGGATCCAAACAGGTCTAAATTCTGGACATTGCGATCGTTTTATTGCTCAAGAACATAGTAGACAGCAATCGTTTGCTCGTAACATACGGCGAAAATCGACACCGTCCCTTTAGGGAAGTGCAGAATGTCGAGTGAACTCGTTTATCTTAAAGTAGAGCTTCGACGCACCGAACTCACCCTCCCTCTCTTCTTTGCTCATGACCACGGTGCTATACCGACCACACAAGTTTAACATGACAATAGACCGGTATGGAGGCAGTGGCTGACTAGAACGGATCCACATCTGCACTTGCCAAACCTTTGTTGGCCACCACACAAGTTACTGCGTTCAACTGAAGGAACTCTCTGTCATCGAAGACATTCGTCACGAAAGTTGCATTAGGAAGTAATTGCATTAATCGGTATTCTATAGAACCCGTCGTACCGGACCTGGATCAACACAAATTATGGCTGCGACGCGCAGCGCCAGACTTACCTCCAGTTGTCAACATTGAACCGGACAGGGCGACGCATGCAGAAAAAATGCCTAAAACGACCGAAAATCACTACAATCCTATTTTCAATGCTATGTTTCCAGAGCAAGGATAAGTTATATGACCGGGATCAGAAAAAGGTAACCAGTGGAGCGTGTCTTACGGGAATGGTGGTATTAGGGGTTACACGGATGGGGTCTTACAGCGAGGAGTTAGGGAATCCTGAGAAGGAAATTGAGAAAAAAGTCAACAATCTGAGATGGAACTTTGTCTGCGGTAAGATGGTAAATGGAATTCAATCGTGTAGTTTGGAGGAAAATAAAACCCTAACGATCAGTAAAATATAGTTTACTGGTCGTTAGTGTTACCTCTACAGAGGCAATTGAATAAACCGCCGCTGGCTAATTTACGGGGGGTCGGGTCTAAGGTGACCCGCAGACAGTGGGGATGGAGGGCTGGGAGTGATAGCAGATGACAGTTGACAAATGTCGTAGCAAGTAACGGGTGACTCTTCTGCAAACGAGAAACTAAGCAAATGAAAGGCAGTGAGCATGCAGAATGTCAACCAGTGCAAGTGCAGTCAGTATGTTATTTGCTGATATTTAACAAATCACCAGCTTTTTGACACTCCTGCTTCACTGTCAGTCTTATGCAATTCGTATGCTGAAATCAACAATACTGTTTTGTGACTTAACTGCTTTTCATGCAGACTTACTTTTTTGTCAGTAAAGTTTTCAAGGGTTTATGCCATTTTCTCCAAAAACATTGATTTGGTCTGACAAATTCTAAAATATGTGTAGGTAAAGGAAGTGTAGTGTTGATGAAAAAGGCAATTCTAGATCTATATATGTACACTCAGTAAATAGTTCAATGAAAGCGAAAAAAGTAGCAGCGTGCCCTATAGTAAATGCAATTTGATTTTTCTTGCAGACCGGCGGTGCGGGCCAGACCGAAAGTCAGTTAGTCCTGGCATGATTTACCAACAACGGCGGACTAAGTACTAAACTCAAATGAGCTGATACAGTTTTGTCAGAGTAGGGTATTGCTCTCGATATTCCAGACATGCAAATGCGGATAGAGCATGAAGCAGAAAGCCCTAAGGCGGCAGGCTGACGGCTTTGTCTTAAGATGTAATCGTTGTGGCAGGAGAAAGGCCCTACGAACGGGGTTGATGTTTTAAAAAAATTCGATTATCATTGAAGAAATTTATGAGGATCTGCCTTGCATTTGTAAGGGGCACAAGACTAAAACATCGCCTGCACAACATTTTAATATCACATACAACAGTAGTGGAGTGGTACTCAGTATGCTGAAGTGTGTGTTCAACAACACTCATAAGGCAAACCAGACAACCCGACGCCCAGGTGTGGAGGCGCAGATAGATAAAATAATGATATGCCGCTGCATATACAAAATTGGCAGGCTGGGAAGACATTTTTGGCTTCTCGAAATGTACGATACTAAGCTAACGAAAGCTGTGTTTTAGCAAGCGACCAACCTAACCTGGCAGGTGCTACGACACGTAGTAATTAAGTGGGTCGCAAAAGGTGGTGTAACCGCAACGGCTGAGTGGAGGGCATACACCCACCTCCGCATAGGAGGATACGGAAGCTACACGGTAAACCACCGCGCTAACTTCGGTGGCCCCACAACGATAAGACAAACAGACGCTATAGAAGCATACTGAACCCACCTTAAAGGGACAATACGTGTAGGAGCCACCGTGTCCCGTCGGGCTGCATGGGTCCACGTGGACGAAATACAATTTTGCCTTTGATTTGGGCTGAACAACGTTGGCCTAAAGGAGCGATTGGAGACCTTTCTATCCTATATTGCTGACGTATACCCCATGCGATGACAGTATCCTAGATAAATCTTTGAAAGCAAGGCCCCTGAATCATTCATCTACCATGTACATAACTCATTTACATCAAGTAGATCTAAATGCTCTGTCTGTGATATGTTAAGAGCGTGGTTTGCACTATAAATCGTAACGGTAAGGGAAAATATCGTGTCATAATGTTCTCCGTCGAGTACCTGGAAATGACAGCAATGTGGGCGGTGGGAATATGCATAGGGAGGCGCCTCTCGCATTCCCTCAACTGCGGACAAATATTTTGTCTTTTACCAAAAGATTACATGCGGGGTGTGAAGAACAATGAGTTAATCTAGGCATTTTTGCAGTATCGCCTCCTCGGGACGGTTGGTTTCAAAGAATGTCATCCTGCGGGGCTTAGAGCCATCGAAAAGCATGACTGGATCCCAACCAAACCTCTACCGAAAAACGCCCACGTAGATAAATATGGTACGCAGTTCTCAATAGCGAACCCAGCCCGGTCATTTGCCCTGTTCTTACCGAAAACTCAAAGCCACTATGAATAGGGCAACCGAGCCCACTTTATCGACTGCACTGCAGACAGATGGACACGACCTAAACATATTCCGAAGGTATTTAAAACTTCTTTATCGGGATGATCAGTGCGTTACTGTGTACAAAGCTTTCCTTGTAAGAGAGGCAGACGCTTTGCCCTAACTTTGAATGAAACTTTGAGTTACACTGTGACAAAGGGCTTTAAAAATAGGAAAATCCCATTGGTGTTCATAACATATAGAGTGTGCTGCCTAAGTTCGATGGGCTGAAAGCCCACATCTGTGCCTTTCCAAAGACGTCATCTCCTTTAGGGAAACCCGGTTGCCTGAAAACGTGTCTGACCGCGAATCGACACCACCTGGATTTCACCTGGTTTAGAAAGAGAAGAGAGAACGCCAGGGAGGGGGAGTACTTATGTACGTAAAAGATGGACCGCTTGTTCTAGAAAAAATAGCACAGCTGACATGCGACACAGAAACTCAATCGCTATAAAAGTACAGGGATCCTAAGGTTTGAAGTTCTGACTGTTTATACTACACCAAGAAATGATCCCGAGACTGATGCTGGTTTACTAGAGGAACTAGAAAAACACGTTACTCGGCCGGCCATCTTGGTCATATGGAACTTTAATGCACCACTCATTAGCTAATGTTCACTTTAGGTGCATGCTCTAGGTGTTCCGATGCTCCAAATAGGACTTACAGGAATAAAAGCAGCAAAGCAACACTTGTAAATGTGAGGCTACCAAGCTGAGTAGGAAGTTCAAACTAAACATACTGCAAAATTCGTCGGATCACTTCTAAATTCTGTATTGCTTTATGCAGAGTATTAAAAGAACTCAAGAACAGATTCCGGCCCCAAAGTTTGCAGACGGAAAACGGAAGACCGACAACCAGGTTAAAACATATCTTCTTTCTGCTTTCTTTCAACCCGTCTTCACCCCAGAACCTGATTATTTTTTTGCACTTCCACCCGTTCGCAAACCAACGCTTCCTCCATTTTTCCCCTCTCCCTTTCCCTCTTTACCCTGCTCAATCAAGGGAATACACTTTTCGTCAGCCATAGTTGGGGCCTAATTACCCCCATTGCAATCTGCTAAATCGCCTGGTCCGGGTAGAATTCTTGCATTAGTAATTCGAGCATTTGTTAATGAACCGTGCGAACCACTGTCTACCATATCTCAAAAGTCATTTGAAGAGGGCGAACTCCCGGCAGATTGGAGCGTGCATTCGTCACCCTGATCCATAAAAAGATAGGCGACGTGACTGCGAAAGTTATCTTCCTTGATGAAAAAGACACGATCGCCGGGACAAGAACTTTATTAGCCTGACGTTTCGGATTCCTGCTCGGATCCATCATCAAAGACAAAAGCAGATAAGGGTAGTTCATGCATATGCGGCTGCAGCATTTATGGGATGCAGTAGCAATGCTACCGCATCCCTATGAATATTCACGGCCCCCCCCCTCCCCTCTTCGTAAGGGATCGTTGCACGTGGCGTGATGGCCGACATTCGCGTCGTTAATTGCTACAATTTCATCACGTGCGTTGGATGTTGGTGTGATGATTGCTCGACCATCTGACGCGCTGACCCGGGTGTTGGGAAGAGTGTTCACCTGTGCGCTCCCCGCGTGGCTAATTACTCGGCCTAGGCAAAGTCTCAGCTGGAGAATTGAATGGGAAGATCATTGCAATTGTTAATAGACTAGGGGCCGGTAAACCATGACTCAAGCGGCTCCCGACTCACGCTGTTGTCACCTCTTGTGAGAATTTTGGCCTCGTAAATATGAATGTGTGGCCGGAACCCGTCGAATGAGCCGCAGCTTGAGAGCCAGCGTCATTTCTCCGCACCGCTGCAGCGTGTTCGGTCATTCGCGTTTGGGGTAGTCTTCTGGTTTCTCCGACGAAGTTGCTTTGTCCGTAACTGAACCAGATCCGATAAACGACTCCAGACGTTTCTTGCTGTGGCAATGGGTCTTTCGGTTTCATTAACTGACACGTGATGGTTGCCGCCGGTCTGTGTGCCACTCCAACCTTAAATGGTGCGAGAAGGCGGCCAACAGCTTCCGAAACGTTCTTGACACATGGAAGCGCTCGCCAAACTTTGGTGTCCATGCGGTTAGGTCTTTCGTCCCTTTTGCGTATGCACCGGTTGACGAAGTTGCGTGGGTAGCCATTGGCTTTGAAGACCCGTCGGAGGTATTGTAGTTCGGCAATCTTTTCTTCCGGCTCACTGCAGTGCGTTTCGACACGCCGATAGAGCGTCCTTACACAACTGCGTTTGTGGCTGATTGGGTGGTTACTGTTGAAGTTCAGTACTTGCATCGTATTTGTCGCTTTCCTGAACACTTTGGTCTTTAGTCCACCACAATCCTTGCGGCATACGAGGACATCCAGGAAGGCCAGTCTGTTGTTCCCTGCCTCCTCCATCGTAAATTGTATATCCGGGAAGACCGCATTCAGACGTTCCTTGCATGTCAGCAGTTGATCCTGGTCGATAACGGCGAAGGTATCATCCACACACTGGGCCCAGAACTTCGGCTTGTGGTGTTGGAAGACCAGCGACTCTAACCGTTGCAGGACCGCCTCGTCGATGAACCCCGAAATCGGCGAACCCATTGGTGTGCCCTTCACCTGTTCGTAGATTGTCCCGTCTAACGTGAAGTATGTCCTGAGACAGAACAGAATTGAAGACTCGTTTTCATGAGCGCAAACTAGCAACTCGGAGACTGGACGCAAACTCACAGCTTGCGGCTCACATCGGGGAAACTGGTCGCAGTTTTGGTTTTCGAGCGCAGCCGTCTTAGGCAGGGGCGCCTCTAGGACAGAGCGTCTCACGCTTGAGGCTTGGGACTCAGATGCCAACTCCATCGACAGACATTCAGACCCTCCCGCGGCCTATAAATTCCTACGTCACTATATACGCCGTGACGAAGACAAGATATTCATACGGAGCCCAAGTCTACCGAAAAAACACGGCCTGTCGACCAATCCACCCAAAAAGGGGGACACAAACGCAACTAACCCCAATTATAGTGACGACACACAATACAGGAGGCCTAAAACACTCACAGGCGACGACCAGTAGGCCAAGGCGGCGAAAGAAGGAAAACATCGGTCGGTCAAAGACCAAGTAATCTGGCTGTCTATTCAAAATTCTGATCGATTGTTTCACTAGACGCTTTGAAAATGGAGAGCCGCCCTATCTCTTCGAAACGTCAGCCAAACAAGTCCCTCGATCCGGTGAACATTTTATTTTCCTCAGATTATCGACCTGGATTTCCTACTTTTGCTAACCTGACAGGGCTTTTAATGTTTAATGCCCTGCCAGCACCAGTCCCTTCTAGCCCCGTCTAGCCCCATCAAAAGTGGCAGGGCTAGAGGGGGCTTTAAAGAGGCTAGGCGGGGCTGTGGAAGGGGCTTTGGCGGGACATTCAACATGACAGCCCCGCCTGGCCCCACCAGCGAAATAAAATTCACAGGTACGCGGGAACATCAGAGGATCAAGTTTATTAACGCAAAAGGGCTATTTGGTGAGGGGACCAACCAGCTTTTGTGCCTGGTCAACCTATAATTAACCCTGTCAGCACCGACCCCGCGTAACTCCCTCAAATATGGCGGGGCTAGAGGGGGCTATGAAGGGGCTTGGTGGGGCTGTAGAAGGGGCTGTGTCGGAGAATTCAGCACGACAGCCCGCCTGGTCTCACCAGCAGAAAAAATGCGCAAGGGACGCTAGATTTCCACCCACTTTTGGCATTCCTTTAAAATATCGACCTGTTTGATGAGTCCCCTGAGGCGCATAAAAATAATACCTGCCGGCAGAAGTTACAGAGCTCAGAATAGGCATTTCTCGTTCAGAGGATTGATTGCCAACTGCTGGCGACGTTGAGGGAACCTCAGACTCAGGTTCTTCAGTGACCTCATAATATGACTTCATCTGGTGCTTAATGAGCTTGTATATGGTGGTTCGGTGAGAACCACAGTAATGACGCTTCAAAATTCCTTTGGATATTCAGTAAAAAACGATAAAAAATTTGTATAAGTAGACTTTGAATGCCAATGCTAACTAGTACATACATAGACACACAAGTCGACTACTTGAACTGTTTTGTGAGTAAATATCCAAACAATTAGCATAAGATACATAAATTAATTAAGACAGTTATTGAGAGCATGAAAACAGCTTTGGTTGACGCACGATATTATCCGCGACCCTTGGGCGTAAACGAATGCTTTTTCCATGATTTACAAGCCATTTTTGACAAATTAGCTCCTTTTAATGCCAAAGAAGGTACAATAAGTGGCGCTTTTGAAACATAACTTTAGATGCAAATAAGCTTCAAAATGTTTCAATCCAGAGGGGGCTCTGGTCCCACCCAGCTCCTTCCCAGCCCCGTCTATGAAGGGGCCATGTGCAGGCAGGATGTGTAGAGATGCGTGGTCTTATGCCTAGACGCCGGCCAAACTGCCTTCCCTAAGCATCAGTACTATTGTAATAGGACAGCATTGGAAGACGAAGGAAGACACAGAGATGGTGTACGGATGACCGCAAATCTAATGCCATCAGAACGCTCCAGGAATGTGGTCAGGAAGGCAAATATTACTTTACATTGGATCAGACGTGCACTTAAATTATTCTCCTCCAAAATCTTCGAAAGATTTTTAGTGTCTTTGTAAGACCCCACCTAGAATACGAAATGCCAGAAACTACATCATGGATGAATGAGGCTATTGACCTATTCGAACAGATGCAGCGCAGAACAACGAAGATGGTTGATGGTCTAGAAAATTTGTCGTTTGGGGAGATGTGCTTGGCTTACTCCCTCTATCCTATAGGCAACTAAACCGCCATCTTCTCTGGGCATTCCGGATTGTCCGTGGCTATGTTTGCTCACTGAGACTGGATGATTTATTTGAGTTTGCCCGTACAAACTAATTACGCGACAATCCCTACAAAGTCAAGAGCGAAATCACGCGGCTAGACTGTAAGAAGTCTTCCTTCAGCCAATGGAATGTCTGACCATGGAACTCACTGTCAAGGGAGATGGTGACACTCGAGACATTTCGTATGTTCAATAGAAGACTTGTTCGCCTAATTTCCGACAAAGACCGACTTTTACAACATGACTACTCGTGACAACCGCCAGCTTTGTAAAACTTTTTGTATTACAAGTTTTTACATACTGAATCACGGTGAACAGAAGCGACTTCTTATTATTAGTGCTGTATTGTGAACCGATCACATGCTAAATGTTTACAATTATACTTTGTGTGGGAATACGCAAAATTATTGTGAATGAATAAAGCAATCAATGGCTCTGCCTCTAACCCTTCAAATACATAACAATAATGATGGTTGTATTTAATGCCAGTTTACAGGCGCGGTCAAAGAAAGATATAACACAGATCGGGCTAACAGTAAGAAAGATTCCTCATGAATAAATACATAAGATGGTGTTTCTATGCTTTGGATGGTCCATCAGAAAAACTGCTGCCAGTGAAATGACGGTAGTCCAAACAGGGATGGGTAAAACTGCTTCCAATATTTTCAGTCTCAATTCCTTCCCATGAAATTAATGCTGGACCAAACCCAGGCATTAGAGAACTGTTGTTCGCTGGCAGCAGAAGAAATTATCTGTGATGAGACAAGCCGGGGGGATAAGAGACCGCGAACTCCACCATTACGGTGGACTAAGTCGGTGGATTCAGAACACAAAATGTGTGGGACCTATTCGGAATACAAAAAACTAGCAATAGTTTTCTTAAACAAAAAAATAATTTTGCAGAAGTTTTGTATTCGTGGATAATTTGCTCTAAACCTTAATTTTGATCGTAAGAAAGAGCCCGCAAAATTTAACGGTACGTGCCAGAGGAAGTAATAAAAAGACCTCACGGTGACTGTTACGCCGGGGGTGGGTAAGATGTTGAAAAATAGTAAGCATGTTAAAAGTACGGCCATTTAAGAGCTTAAACCGTAAAAATAGCCCCTTTTGAAATTGACGAAACCAGAAAGGATCAAGGCCTATAAGCCGGCAACGTTCTTGGTAAACCAAATTCCGGTGGTGTGTGGTTAAAATAAGTTGGTAAAAAAATGCTGGACGAATCCTATTTTCTTCTGACCAGCAACACGCATGAGGTTAAGTAAAAACGAACAGTATTGCAGGTCAGGTCTAACGTACATGTTGTAAAGGCGAATTATAACATCTCTAGTTTTAAAATTCTGAAGGAAAACCCGGTCGATCTACGTGGTTTGGAGACTATCACGGCGCAGTGCTCCCAAATGTTAAGACACTAGGAATATGATAGCCCAGATCCTTAAGTACTTCAGGCACATTTATGTCGTGACTGTCAATAATTAGTTGAGGTTGGTGACCGTCACCAACCACCACGACTAAGCATTTATGCCAAGAAAGAGAAAGGCGCCATATGCGACACCACTGGGCAAAGGCCTGTAGGTCGCTCTGTAGGAGTTCAAGCACGATGTCACGATCTGCCGGCTTATATTGATATGCAACATTCAGATCATCGGCATACATGAAGGGTTTGCCATTTTGACATACATCGGGTACATCGTTAACAAAAAGGCAACATAAAAGTGGGTCGAGTACACTACCCTGAATGACTCCACTCCTCACACATGTGGGGTTGGAGATGGCATGGGAAATCTTAACACGTTTTGTGCGAGCGGCAGGGTAGGAGGATGCAAACTTCAGAAGTTTAACACATATTTCGAAAGGGGGAAGGTTTGAGGGAAAAAGAGCATGGTCAATACGATAAAAAAATCTCTTAATAAAATCTAAATAGACTGTGTGAAGTGCAAAGCCATCGTCCAGGTTCATGGTCAAAGAAAGAGAGCTGACAGGTGTCACAAGACCGAGCCATGAGGAATACAAGCTGTACAGCAATCAGTACGTTTTTTTCTGTTAAGTGACACATCCTCCTATCTTTTATCAATATCTGTAAGATTTTTGAAACTGCCGTAATGGTGTTTATTGGCCGAAAGTCATCAAATGTAGATTGGCCATGCTTCGGGATTGGTAAAAGTGTGGTTCCTTCCACTAATTAGGATAGGTTTCACGTTCGAGAGCGAGATTAAATATCTTGCAAAGGAGGGACAGGAAAATTTTATTTGCATCCGCTTTTAGAATGCTAAATGGGACACAATCAAGTTCTGTAATATGAGATTGGCGAAGACGCCGAATCGCTACTGTCACTTTCCATAGAGTTAAAGTTATAGCTTTGGGAAAGTCCGCAGTCAAATCCTGGAGGGTCGGAAACGGAGCGATCGAATTACAGTAAATGCTTTGGACAATAAAGCATTGAAACCTTCGACGGTAAACTGGGCATCAGCTATGGGATTCGCGAAAGCGTTTCGGAGGATGGGACGCTGCGTTATTCTATGAGTTCGGACTTTTTGAGAGAAAATTTTCCGGATATTTAATGAACGGTTTCGCTTAATTGGACCTCTTCGGCTATCGGTTTTTCTTCGGCTGATCTCTTAGCCCGCTCAAAAATATTACAAATCGAGGGCAGCACGAAAACTTCGTTCTAAAAATGGAGTCGCCGAGCAGGTGGGAAGCATCATGCCCGAAATTAATTATTTTCTTACGGAGGATTAAAGGGGAAATAAGCTGATCGAAAATTTTGTACAGTTTATCAGTGCAAACATTTACATCCGAACTTAGGAAGAAATCAGTCCGATCTTAGGAATTTAGGTTTGCTATGTAGTATGCGGACTGTCCTGTGGTTTCAGCTGGGGGACTGGTTCCTGACTAACGTCGACTCGCTCGATCGAATGAGATGGGGATGGGGCCTCTTCCCCCTTTCCTGAATGGTTGGACTTAGATTTTGGCATCAGGCGATCAGACGAT